GCAGTGTTATAAAGTACTAAAACACAATGCAAATAACCAAGATATAGGAATATCAAGGAAAATATAAATCACATGAGGAGCAAAAATATACTTAGCTGGTCTGAGGGAGCAGCAAAGAAAGAGGAGGTTTGTGGGAGACACCTCTGTTATGTGATTGGTTGCCTGTGTGCCTATACAGTTTTTTCTTTCATTTTGATAATATTTATATTCCTCTATCTTTGCTACTGAGGGAATAAAGAAAGAGTTATGCATAATACTCGCCTCTGTGTCTTTAATAAAATTTTAATTTATTTTTAATTTCTAGGTCTGATCAGTATATGTAAGATATACAATATACTCTATTCATACATAAAAAAATTGGAACAGCCTTTCAAATGAAGGAAGCCATTATCGCACAAGTAAGGTCCCCTTTTCTTTATGTTTTAAAAGAATTCACTTAATGTGCTCATTTATACAGGAGCTCTGTTACTCTAAGGGTGTCATACAATAGACTGCAGGAAGAATCCTTTTGATACATTCCAAGCTGACTCACATGAGACTGTAACCGATGCCAAGACCTTGATACACTGCTATGTAGAGTAATATTGTACGCCAATTCTTCTCCAAATGTTAATTAATACCTAGACCTCTAAGGGTTATAACAGACAAGTCTTTCAGAGTCACCATGCATATGTGTGTCAAACTGCACAATTCTGGAAGAACATATGAGAGAAGGAAATTAATATGTATAATGGAAAAAATTGTAAATCATTTGAGGCCCATCGCTCTTTTATAAATTGCTAAAAATATAATTTGGCTTCAAGTTACATTTACCTGGTTGAAGACATCCACAGCAATAACACGTGTGCATACATATACAAACAAATAAGTACATTTCAGGTATGGATAGGGAGGGCAGAAAGGGACGGAAGGGGGCAGTTGACCTCCACGCTAGTAGCATTCAGGGGATTATAGTCAGTAACATACTAAGTGGGGGGGTGGTCCACACCGGGTGTCACTGATCTCAGGAGGTGCCAAATGCACTAGGTATGCCACTGATTATAGCCAAAGGTTGACCACAGCACCAACCACTCTTCTGCTGATTAAATGCCGAAGTAAGTAAAGTGTAGGATAAGATGTGTTAGACAGGAATTGTGCAAGGTCATTACTAGCCCAGTACTGCATGGTTAATGCACTATCATTGAATGCTGTTGATAGAAACCTGTGCTATTAAAATAATATTTTCTTATGGACTGGTATCTGGTGGATGGTATGGTATCTAGGGCTACCATGCCATCAAAGGTATCTGCAAGCAACTGTAAGATGAAATGGGTCAATGCTCAAGTCTTTCATCGCATAATGTGCAGGTCATGTGAATCATCGGAAATAAAGTTATCCTTTACGTCCATGTACGTTATTTGGGGGTTTACACTTTTGCCATGCATTCATTGTTCTACAATTCACCCTTTCTGTTTAAGTGCACCCATGCATATATAATTTGCTGAAGAAGAAACAGGGCGTTATTTTGATATCCTACATGTATATTTGTAGTCGGGGACAATAAGCCGAGTAATGGTATTAAGGATGGCATAAGTCAGATATGGAATAAGCCGGTTGTGATGTGCTGGAACCGATGTTCGGGTAGGCCTGTGAATAAAGAGGGCAAAAAGTTTAATAGAGAAACACTTTCATACATGTTGCCATTTCTTAACCGATGCTTTATATGCCTGCCTCAAATCCTTCTCTGGTTGAGAGATATCTTGTGTATGTAGAGGATTTTATGTCCTAGTATTTGATGAGGTGTACTGGGGTATCACTAGAGGCTGGGAAGGAGCACCTATACTACTAGAATAACCTGAAAAATGCTGAAGGTCGTAAATATGAGAATTTGATGTGAGTGCATACTTTTGTGATCTTGAGAGAGGCATATGTCTATGTAGCCCTGTGAGCTTTGAATAATTGTTCTGTTAGACAGGCCGGGCACCATTTCTGCTTGAGATAAGTTTATCTTTGTAGGTGGGTATGAGATAGTTCATGGTGTTTGTAAGCTAATTTAAGGATGAGGTGGCAAAAGGATATGAACGCCACCAAGGTATTGATGGAGCACGGATTGACGAAAAGGTGAACCAAAGTGTATTTTTTCATAAATGGCCAAAGCTCTGAAAATTGAACGGCAGGTATAGGCAGAGTGTCATGTGTGTGAGCAATCGAACAAGGCCATGAGATGACCTAATCTAGTATGAGGTTCTAGAATGTTTGGGTATGATAGGTCGTTTGGTAGCCATATGGTTGGGCTCACATCTGAAATTGGAATGGAGTAAAATTGACAGCTGCTATGTTAAGACAGCCTATATAAGTATGGAAGGTTGCTGTGTTGTGAGTTGCTGTGTTGTGAGTCCCGGGGCATTGCAAGTAACAGCTGACCTGTGAGTGGGGAAGAACCGACCCTAATAAATTGGTACTTATGTGTTGTCTGGGTCAGCAGTGTCAGGCAAATTAATGAGTGAATAACAGGATGTGGAAAATGGACAAGGTTTCCTGTTCCTGTGAGAAAGGAATTTTAGCCACGTGAACAGGCTGGCTAGAACAGGCATGATAAATGTTGCAGCGTAATCTCGGTAGGTGACCTGAAAGCGGCTGAGTGGTGTGGGCAATATAGTCATGACCTAACAGTATGACATACATGACATGGTTTAGAGAACCTAGGAGACATTGGAGATCCTTATGATAACAGACATTTTCAAAGACGGACTCCATGCTCCCTGGGGAGGCAGTACTGTCAGGATTATATTGATCTAGCATGCAGAATAGTATCACACCATAGAACTAAGGGTAACATCTTACAGCGCCTTAGAATGGTCGGATTTAACGTACCCGAGAATAGTCCGAAAACTAGCTGAGGTCAGGGACACAGAACGATACACAGCGATAAGGAAAAAACAAAAGTCAAGGGTACCAGAAATCAGAGAAGTCAAAACGAAGCCAAAGTCAAACACCAGAAAAACACAATCAGGAACACACTCTCAGATAACCATCTAGGGGACTGAGCTAAGGGAATATGAGAGTTTAAATAACCCTTTTGCAGATCCAATTGGCTGTACCTAGCCGTTGACACCAAAACCTTTGTGTTCGTCTTTTGCGTGGCATCACCGGCACGTCGACGTTGTCTTTACCATGGATGCACGTGGGGCTATATAATTGCGTGGATCCGCAGTGGCCGGCATCCACCGACATGCCACAAAAGCCAGACATGATAGCAAAAGACTGCTGAGTGGCACTCCCCTCTATCTTCGGAAGATAATTATCTCAGTTTTTGCCACATGGAGAGGAAGAATACGTCACGTATTCATTTGCTTATAAAAATGTGGTTAATGGCATTTACTGTCCACACAGGAAAAGTTGTGCCAAGCAGCAACCAAATCCACAGAAGGGTTAATGCTGAGCAGCAATTATGCAAATGGGAACCTGGTAACTAACTTTGGGGTCAAAGGTCGGTTACAGCCTATCAGATCTAGAGAACGGGTTTTTAGGCCAAGTTCTCATCCTGCTCAGTGCCCTGTCGTGGTTTCCCTTGTGGTTGTCCGAGAGCGCGTTATTGATTCTGGTTATTTGACTTTGGCATTGTTTTTGACTTCCTTGTTTTCTGACTCCTGGCTTTTCCTTATCGTTGTGTCTCTTTCTGTATCCCTTGATCTCAGCTATTCCTGACTATTCTTTGGTACGTTAGTCCGGCCATTCTAAGGTCTGGTATACGTTACCTATCAGTCCTCTGTGTTATACAATTCTACGTGCTGGATCATTCTGTAATCCTGACATTACGACATGGCCATAGATCCTGTAGAATTGTGTAAGCACATAGCTGCTTGTGAAAGGAAACTGGAGGATAATAATCACTGCATGGATACTATCTCCCTATCTCCTCCCCTGCATTTTGATGGTAATATTCAAGAATGCCGGGGATTTATTAACCAAATGGAGTATCATTTTGAGGCCTCACCGGGATCTTTTCCCACAGACAGAGCTAAAATTGGTTCCCTAATGAATCAATTAAAAGGTAAAGCTTTAGCTTGGGCCAATCCATTATGTGAGAGTAATAGGAGTGTGTCACACAATTACCAGGAGTTCCTTATGGAATTCAAACTAGGGATCGACCGATTATCGGTTTTACCGATATAATCGGCCGATATTTGGTATTCTCGGCAATATCGGTATCGGCCAATTCAGATACCGATATTGCCGATAATACCTCCTAGGACCGCCAGGCTCATTACAAGCCCGGCGGTCCTGGGGGGGCGGAGAGCAAGCGCTTACTCACCTCCCAGCAGCTCCCCAGTGCAACTCTCGCGAGACCCGCGGCCGTCAGAGCGTTGCCATGGATCACCATGGCAACGCTCCGCGCGACACGCTGGCCGCGAGAGTTGCACTGGGGAGCTGGAGGAGCTGCTGGGAGGTGAGTAAGCGCTTGCTGCCCGCCCCCCCCCAAAGCTCAGCAATACCACTGGACCACCAGGGACTGTCATATCCCCCCTCCCTGGCCAGGTTACAAGCAGGGAGGGGGGACAACAGAAATAAATAATAATTAAGTAAATAATTTTTTTTTTAAATAATTTAATAAAAAATGCCCCCTCACACACTGCATTATATACACTACACAAACACACTGTGTATATAATGCAGTGTGTGTTTGTATAGTGTGTGTGTGTGTTTGTATACAATGCACACAAACACACTGCATTATATACCCACACTACACAAACACACACTGCATTATATACACACACTACACAAACACACATATAATGCAGTGTGTGTTTGTATAGTACCAATGCACACAAACACACTGCATTATATACCCACACTACACAAACACACACTGCATTATATACACACACTACACAAACACACTGTGTATATAATGCAGTGTGTGTTTGTGTAGTGTGGGTATATAATGCAGTGTGTTGTGTAGTGTGTGTGTGTATATAATGCAGTGTGTGTGTGTGTGTGTGTATATAATGCAGTGTGTGTGTGTGTATATAATGCAGTGTGTTTGTTTAGTGTGTTTATATAATGCACACTACACAAACACACTGCATTATATACACACACTATACAAACACACACTCTGCATTATATAAACACACTACATTCACTATACACACACTACACAAATACACACACACTCTGCATTCATTATATACACACACAGTTTGCATTTAGTATATACAGCATTCACTTTACGCACACTACCCACACACTACACAAACACTCTGCTTTCATTATATACACACTACACTAATACACACACTAGACAAATACACACTGCATCCACTACACAAACACACATTGCATCCTCCACACACACTACACAAACACACACTGCATCCACAAACACACACTACACAAACACACACTGCATCCACTACACACACACTACACAAACACACACAGCTCCCCTGTCACACTGCATCCACTACACGTGGCATGTATATTTTGTGCATTTACCTTTAGAAATAGTTTTTATTTTCCAAAATGGTAAATGTACAGAATATCGGCAAATTATATCGGCTATCGGCCTGAAAGTTCACAGAATATCGGTATCGGTATCGGCTCTGAAAAATCAATATCGGTCGATCCCTAATTCAAACTTACCTTTGAACCTTTAGGCAGAGAGGATGACGCCTCTACTGCCCTGATGCACATCAGACATAGGAACCAGTCTATCTCGGAATATGCTATAGAATTTCGTACCCTAGTTTCCGAGGTAAACTGGACTAATAGTGGGTTAATCTCTGCATTTAAAAAGGGATTATTTGAAACTATGCTAGATGAGATTGCCGCCAAAGACTTACCCAAAAAGCTTAATGAATTTATCACTTTTGTCATGCAGATTGATAATAGATTAAGAACCAGAGAAGCTACTAGAAACAAGACCAGACGCATGAGTATGCATTTAGCACCCCGTTTCTCCAGATCTATTGTCCAAACCCGAACCCATGCAGTTGGGGATCACTAGACTGTGGGAAGCAGAAAGACAATATAGGAGAAAAGAAGGCCTATGTCTATCCTACGGTAGGAAGGGACATATGAGAAACAATTGTCCCATACGTTCGGAAAACTGCCACACCTAAGCACCTTAAGGGGACAGGTCTTAGGTGTAATGGAAACGTCCTCTGAAATTTCTATCACCTTTGACAAAAATAACTTTTCATGCAAAGCCCTGATGGATTCAGGTGGTGCTGGAAACTTCATCGACATTCAATTTGTCAAAGGTAATACTATACCTATCAAAGAGAGACTATCACCCCTAGCTGTTGAAGCTATTGATGGGACACCACTCTCACAACCATTGATAACACATGAAACCTTACCCATTAATATTTCCATTGGTGCATTACATAAGGAAGAGATTACATTTCAGGTGATTGCATCTCCTTCTTGTCCTATTATATTAGGATTCCCATGGCTTAGCAAGCATAACCCTCATATTGACTGGGCTAATGGGGAAATATTAGGATGGGGTAACAATTGTAACGAAAGGTGCATATTGCATGTCACCAAAAGAGTAGGCACTATTGAATTACCCACTAGTACACCTCAAAATCCCAAATTCCCTATACAATACCAAGACATTGAAGAAGTATTCAGCAAAGACTCAGTCTAATACTCTACCTCCTCACAGACCATATGACTGTTCCATTAACTTACTACCAGGTGCTATGCCACCTAAAGGAGCAGTCTATGCTCTATCTCCTCAGGAGAGTAGTGTAATGGAGGAATATATTAAAGATTCATTGAATAAAGGCCATATATGAAAATCATCCTCGCCTGCTGGTGCAGGATTCTTTTTTGTATCTAAAAAGGATGGTGAGTTGCGCCCATGTATCGATTACAGGGCATTGAACAAAATCACCATTAAGAACGCCTACCCCATTCCTCTTAATGCTGAATTATTTGACAGACTCCAGGGCGCTAAAGTGTTTACTAAGCTTGACCTTAGAAGCTCTTACAATTTAGTGAGAATCAAGGAAAACCATGAGTGGAAGACTGCATTTAATACCAGAAGTGGACACTATTAATATCTAGTGATGCCATTCGGGTTGTGCAATGCTCCAGCGGTTTTCCAAGATTTCATTAACGATGTACTCAGGGATTACATTTACTCGTTTGTCTTGGTCTATCTGGATGATATCCTTATTTATTCTCCTGACCTCTAGTCTCACCACGATCACGTTAAACAAGTTCTGCAAACCTTGTTAAAAAACCAACTTTATTGTAAATTGGAAAAATGTATCTTTGACCAGTCTGTAGTACAGTTTTTAGGATATAATATTTCTGCCTCTGGGTTTCAGATGGATCCTAGAAAATGAGAGTCTGTTCAGCAGTAGCCTTTACCCACTGGGTTGAAAGCCATTCAAAGGTTCATTGGTTTCGCCAATTATTACAGAAGATTTATAAAGGGATTTTCTTCATTAATAGCCCCCCATCACCAATATGACACGCAAGAGGGCTAGTAGTACGATATGGTCTAAGGAGGCAATTGAAGCCTTTGAAACTCTCAAACAGCTGTTTGCCTCCGCCGACATATTAATACATCCTGACACACACTTCAGAGACAGGGGTAGGGGCAGTTCTCTCCCAGAGGGAGAGCCAGGAAACTCCGTTACATCCTTGTGGTTACTTTTCTAGAAAGTTGTCTCCTGCTGAGCGCAATTACGATATTGGCAATAGAGAATTGTTGGCCATTATTCTAGCTCTCAAGGAGTGGCGACATCTTTAAGAGGGTTCCAAGGACCCCTCTTTTGATCATTACTGATCACAAAAACCTGGCTTACATAGGATATGCTAAGCGATTATCTTCTAGACAAGCTAGGTGGTCTCTATTTCTTTCTCGCTTTCATTTTCTTATCACCTACAGACCTGGTTCTAAAAATGTCAAGGCCGACGCCTTGTCCAGGCAGTTTGATACTGAGGCTATACTAGAGCAAGAAACGTCCAATATCATTCCCCCGGAATGTATCATTGCGTCCACTGTCCTTTCATTGTCCTCTCCACTGCTTGGCTCCATCATGGAGGCTCAGTCTCAGGCGCCCTGCGGAAAACCTCAGGACAAACTGTTCGTTCCATTGGGGGAAAGGGTTAATATCATGAAGGTGTTTCACAACAATGTGTCTGCTGGTCACCCAGGTATTAATAAATCCACTTCTGCTATCATGAGGTCATTCTGGTGGGATTCCCTCAGGAAGGATGTTAAGGAATATGTGCAGGCTTGTTCTGTTTGTGCGGTTTCCAAAGTGCCTCATAAACTCCCTTGTGGCTTGTTACAACCTCTTCCTATTCCTGAGGTCCCATGGTCCACTTGTCCATGGACTTCATTGTTGAACTTCCTAGTTCTAACGGTTATACCACCATTCTCATGGTTGTGGAACGTTTTTCTAAAATGGCTAATTTTATTCCTCTCAAGAAATTGCCGTCATCTCAAGACCTGGTACTAATCTTTATACGAGAAATTGTCCGTCTGCATGGCATTCCTCACAATATAGTATCTGACAGAGGTTCTTAGTTTGTGACTCGGTTTTGGAGGGCCTTCAATAAACAATTAGGGATTGAATTGTCTTTTTCATCCTCTTACCACCCCCAGACCAATGGTACAGCTGAGAGGGCTAACCAGTCCTTGGAATTATATTTGCGTTGTTTCATTAATAGCACTCAAGACAAATGGTCCGAATTACTACCATGGGCCGAGTTTGCTAGGAATAATGCTGACCATGACTCCTCTGGGCATAGTCTATTTTTTGTTAATAATGGCCGGCATCTTACTGTCCTACCGGCTGTTTTTTCTGATACTGCTATTCCTGCTTTGGATGACCGTCTGGCTTTCATCCGTGATACCTGGGTTAAAGTTCAATCTGCTCTGGGTACTGCTGCTGACTGTTTCAAGCATTATGCTGATACACGTCGAGGTGCCAACCCTGTTTACCAAGTGGGTGAGAGGGTTTGGTTATCTTCTCGTAACATCAGGCTCAAAGTCCCTAGCATGAAATTTGCTCCTAGGTTCCTTGGACCTTTTCGTGTCCTTCATAGGATCAATCCTGTTGCGTACTCTCTGGCCCTTCCAGCCTCCTTGAAAATTCCTAATACCTTTCATGTGTCCTGTTCTTCAGGTGAGGGGTAATGTCACGTATTCATCCGCTTATAAAAATGTGGTTATGGCATTTACTGTCCACACAGGAAAAGTTGTGCCGAGCAGCAACCAAATCCACAGAAGGGTTAATGCTGAACAGCAATTATGCAAATGGGAACCTGGCTATTGCCTTTGGGGTCAAAGGCCGGTTACAGCCTATCAGATCTAGAGAAGGGGTATTTAGGCTCAGTTCTCATCCTGCTCAGTGCCCTGTCGTGGTTTTCCTTGTGGTTGTCCGAGAGCGCGTTATTGATTCTGGTTATTCTGGTTATTTGACTTTGGCATTGTTTTTGACTTCCCTGTTTTCTGGCATGCCTGACTCCTGGCTTTTCCTTATCGTTGTGTCTCTTTTTGTATCCCTTGACCTCGGCTATTGCTGACTATTCTTTGGTATGTTAGTCCGACCATTCTAAGGTCCGGTATACGTTACCTATCAGTCCTCTGTGTTATACAATTCATGCTGGATCATTCTGTAATCCTGACATAGCGGCGGCTACAGAAAAGACTTGGGAAAACTGAATGCCCAGGTATGAAAGTAGGGTCATATACTTGCATGCTTAGGGGCATAGTAACAGAACTTCTATGCCTAATAGAACTTGACTAAATGCGGGGAAGGGGTCCTTAGTTTCAGAAACTACTGACTAGTCGCTGTAGAATGCCTTGTCCACTAGGGGGTCTTAGTAGGAAATAATAAGAACCCAACTGAAGAGATTCAAAATGAGCGCCTTCTTATGGATGCGTAAAAAAACATGCAAATACGTTGGAAGGGGGAACAGGAGTTGGATTGTAACTGGTGATGTTTCATTGATCGGTTGGAAGTAAGGGAAGCAAAGTAGGTACTCCGACTGGGGGTTAGTAACACTTGAGTTTGGAGATTCAAACTTCCCTGGTCTGTTGTGATTTCTATAAGGGGTGAAAGATGTAT